TCGATTTGACATCCATATTGTATATATGAAATAAATAAATTATATTTATCTTTATAATAATAAAAATAATAATATTTATTAACCGAAATGCCGCCCCAAACCACACTCGAAGACCGACAAAACCTACCTCCGACCCATCGTGGCCGGCTTGTGGCTCTCCTCTCCCGAACAAGCCGCTACCACACTTGCCCTTTCGTCTCGCAACATCTCGAGGCCGTTGTCCACTACGCCACGACTCGGGTGATACCTCAACAGACGCTTGCCGAGATCACCGTCACGTTGGACGTGCTAAGATCACTAGCGCCGTGCGACTTCCTCGTTTTTGGGTTGGGCCACGACTCCCTCATGTGGGCCTCGTTGAACCCTGGCGGGACGACCCTCTTCCTAGAGGAGGAGCCCAATTGGATCATCAAGGTCCTCAACGATGCTCCGGGCCTCCGGGCCGAGGCTGTGGCTTACCGGACTCAGGTCTCGGAGGCCGCCCAACTTCTCAGTCGGCACTATCGGGACGAGCCATCTTGTTGGGCCCAAAACTCGTTTCTACGCGGTAACAACAAGTGCAGGTATCATATCATGTTGCGAGTCGAGTGAAGTACTGATAATTTGTCACGTGTAAGATAATAATTTGTTGATTGAGAAAGAAATATAAAATAAATAATATAATTAATATAAAAATAGAAGATAGTCTAGAAAGTCTGAAAGGCTTCTGCATGTTTCAATGCCACGTTCGATTTTTGGGGCTACGTGGCAATGTAATAGAGCAATCCATTGGACATTGAAGATAGATGCTCTAAAATTTGTTTGGAAAAATAATATTTTTGTCTAGCATTAAAACTCGACTCGGTGGTGGCCGTGTGGAGCAGGTTAGCGTTGAACACGCTGTCGGAGTGGGACGCGACCATGATAGACGCGCCGCGGGGATACTTCCAGGAGGCGCCGGGGAGGATGGCGGCCATATACTCGGCAGCCGTGATAGCGAGGCAGAGGAAGAAGGCGGGGCCCATGCATGTGTTTGTGCACGACGTGGACCGACCGGTTGAGAGAGACTACGCGCAGGCATTTTTGTGTGAGAAGAATCTAGTCGGGGCCGTAGGGAAGTTATGGCATTTCAAGATCCCGGCCGCCACAAATGACACCAAACAATT